GGCGATTAAAGTATTACAAAAAAAAAAGATGCAGATAAGAAAAAATGCACCAAGAAATGCATGTTTATTTATAAATACTGGCCAAGCTTGTTCGCTGCACGAGTCTGGTGTTCAGTACAACTCCTGAGGAGAAGGCAGCCAAGATAAGCAGGGAAGTCACCACAGCTTCGTGATATTCTACTCATCTTCCTGTTTCAGTTCAAAATAGATTGCAGGACATCTTGCCAAAGGTTGAAAATAAAGCCACCCTTTTTAAGACCAAAGAGATAATGAGGATCACATGAGCTCGCCTCCCATATAAGGCATTCCAATATCTGTTCAAATAATTTCCATGACAAAGATGTCTTGCAAGTGGCAGAGGTCAGTATACCCTGCCAGGCACATAAGACCAAGACTCTGCAGTTCTATAGCCTGAAGCAGTTGGACAACTACTGATATCCAGCTTGAAGATTTTTTCCCCTTTTAAGGGGCCTTTCTCTCCACAGAAGTTACAGAAAACCTGTACCTATGTAACCTGGTTACAAATTTAAATTCAGGAGGAAGGAATCCAGGTCATGACCACCTTTGTTGCAGAGACAAGTTCTCTTGGCATTTAAAATTTTACAGAAACTTACTTCATCTTCCTTTATTTCTTACTTCTTTGCTTCTACCTCCAGTTTTCAATTGTGATTATTCTACTTCTCTTCTGAGCATCTCTTCTACTGCATTTTTCTTCTATTTTTTTAATTTTATTTAAGACTTGAAGGACATAACACTGAGCTGAATTTTTCTTAACAAGGGTCAGCTTATACAGAACACACCATGAGAATTACTCTAATTTATATCTACACTAGAAACAAGAACATCCACCACAAAGATCTCTGCTGCTCTTTCAACTAGTTCTGAGATATCTGTTATTCTCCCTCTGGTACAGGTACAGGATCCAAGGTGTTGTCTTTCCTTTCCGTATTTGTACCTTGTACCCTTTCTCCTACAACCATTGCAATTAGTGGGGCACTCCATGAGATGAACAACATCAGTCACCTTTCTCCTTCAGCTCCTGGCCGAGTGCTCCTGCTTTTTTTCCTCACAAAGGGCTTTTCCTCGAGCAGATTCAACCCACCAACCTTGCCGAATAGTAACAACAAAGTGGGTTTTTTTCAGCCAAGTCAGTGAGTCGAGCGACCTAATGAACACGGGATTGAGCGCAAGGAAGGGTCTAAGTGTGCTGCTTTAGGCGGCAGCAGGAACCCGTGGCACGCCGGTGCCATTTGCTCCCTAGAAACGCACCGCGAAGCACCCGGACAAGAGAGGAACAGCGGCGACGGGAGCGCGGGGGGACTTTTCCTTCGGGCGCGTTCCCAGCGCCGCCGCCGGGCTGCGGGAGGGAGGGAGCGCCGGACGGAGACCCGGCCCCGCGGCCGCGGGGCGGTGGCGCTCGGGCGACACCCGGTGGCGCCATTGAGGTGCGGCCGCGTCTGAGGGCGCCGAGGGGAGACGGAGGTGGGGTGGAAATCCCTCCGGAACAATAACCCGAGGCTGCTGGGCGTTTCCCAGAGCCTGTGGTGTGTGGGCAGAGACTCGGGATCGTGGTGGGCTCCGCGCCCCTCCTGCCCGTGGAGCACGCAGGCTGTGCACGGCACAGTACGCGGTGTGGCTCCTGTCCCTGCCGTCTCCTGCCCCTGCTCTCACACGGGTCACACCCGCCCTGAAACCAGGCAGCGATGCTGCTTCTCACACTTCATTGCAAGGCTGTCGTGTGACCCGGCTCCTGTGGCAGCTGTGGTTCCCAGGCTGTGCCTGCCCATGGCTGGCACGGACCGATTAGCTTTTGTGCCAGGGCCGTGCTTCGGCACGGGTACCCCTTGTCCCGGCCTCCCGCAGCGCGTGTGCGCGGCAGCCTTGTCCTGAGCTCCGGTGCCAGCACCCCTCGGCAGGAGGGGGCTGTTGCGCCTTTAGCCTTGGCAGAGTTCGGGGCGCAGAGACAGTGGCAAATGGCAGGGTGCCGTGTGACTGTGAGACAGGTGGTGTCCCCAGGGCCGTGTGTGGCCTCGGGGAAATCACGTGGGCCGAGTGTGCCTCAAACCGCCTCAAACCCCTGCAAAAGCTTTGCTCTTGGGGACTGAGGGAACCAGCCAACACTGATTATGGGGAGGCATTTGTATCGTGGGTTGCTTTGGAGTCAGCCAGTACCCGACTTGTGCCCTGAGCTCCTCAGCCCGGTGCTGCTGGTTGCTTGCTCTCCAAACTCCCACTTGCAAGCCTTGCATTGGCAGTTCCAAACATCGTGGCACGGAGACATAACTGCATCATGACACTTAATAGTGGCGTGATGATGTTTTTGACAAAAATATCAAGGAAGATCTAAATGTTATTGCCCAACGTTAGTTTGCAGCCTAACACAAATGAGTAGAAAGTATCCTGAAATTAAACAGATTTCTTATTCTACACATTTACAAATTCTGCTTGCATGGTCATTTGGGAGAACACTGCACTAATTTTAAAAAAAATAAGCACTTTTTTTAGCATTCTTTCTGCATTTTGGAACCAGGATCTCATGCAAAATAGTGAAATGGATAACTTATCTACATCATTTGTTGCCTCACACTGTTGGCACTTTAGAGTAACTTGATGTGTATCAGAATTGTTCAGTGTGGTGCTAGATTTTATGCTTATTTCAAACTTTTTGCTCAGTAGGACTTGTGTGAGGAATGAAGATCTATAGACACCTTTATAGGCATTTTAAATTTAAATTTTTTTAATATAAAATAGAAATGTAAAAAAGGATTGGTTTGCAACTGGAAGATATACCATATTTTGGTATATATCATATATGCCACAATACTTTTGGAAATTATTTTTTGCCTTTGAAATAAGACCAAATAAGACCAAACCAACCTTTACATTCCCATTCTATTTACAAAGTGACAGACACAATCCCATTGAAATAAACACAACTTAATCAAAATGATTTGACATTAACTTTTCATTTTGCCAAATCTGGGACAAGCCCTTCCATTTCTGTATTTGACTTTTCTAGGTGTTTTTGTTGCTAAAGTCCCACTTTCCCAATAGAAGACTATTGGGTAAAATATAAAGTGCCTCCTTTATGAGCACAGATGATCTTGAAAAGCTGCTTAGTAACGTGCTAAAGTGGATTATATCAATATGTAATAGAAGTGTGTCAAGTACTTTATGTGCCTGTTTACATACAAATCTGTATTTGCATATGCATTGGAAAACAAACCAAGAAAACAGAAAAACATGTTTCAGTTGTTGGTGCAATTTCTTCTTAAAGCTGGAATCTTACTCTATTGCTCTCAGAAATAAGTGGTATTTCAGTTTGACTGAATTTTCATATGCCAGCGAAAATGCTTTGAAAACAACTACTCTGGCCAAAAATCTGCCTGTTTCAGAGTAATAGTGCAATGTTGCCTGAGATGCTTTTCTAGCCGTTTATTAGATTTGGATTTTTGAAACTCCATATTGAATAACCATGCAGTAGTTTTAAATAGTGTCTATAAGAAGTGGCAATAGAAGAAACAGTTTCACTGCTTTCACAGACAAGAGTAGTGCTTGTACGCCAGAATGTACTAGGAGGGATCTTCTGCAAAAATGAATTACAAAATTCTGGGCAGTCAAAACAGCCCAAATCACAATCTGGACCACAGTGAATAATGATTCCCCGTATAACCCACCGGATTAATCACACTAACACAGTTTTTCTATATTAGAAAAAATATGCAAACATTTCAAAGGCCGTAATTACCATTCTTGACAATGAATCTTAATACCGTCTTTTACAAGTGTTGCAGTTGCTGCAGCCTCTTTTTCCACAAGATAGCAGCACTAGAACTATGAATGAGCAAGGGGCTTGTAAGCCCATCTCGCCAAAATTCAGAAAGGCCACCTGCTTTATTTACTCCTTAACTTTCAGGAATCTGAAGCTCAGAATCAGAGGAAAAGCTTCTTAAACACCAGGACTGAGTGCAAACACCAATTAAAATAATAAAATGTACATTTACAGTTTACTTTAACAGACCCATCTCCTGAAAAAGCACATCACAGGACTTAAAACAATCTGCAAAACTAAAATGCTGTGTGTATAATTATATTTGTGTGAGTGTATATGCATGCGTGTGTGCATTGAATACAGTAGAAATCTTGAATATAGCAAAAGAACTCGTCTTCCTTGTACACAGCAAAAATCTTCTAAGTGATTAAAAGTTTGTTTATGCTTCCCCTTAACTTAAAAGTAATTTAATCACTTTTCCTCATACTTTTAGCTGCAATTATTGATTGTCATTGTCCAAAAGCAATCCTACAGTGAAGGAGGAACCCCTTTACCAGTACACGGCAATTGCCAAGGGGAGGTGAGCTCCCTCCCTCTATTCACTCTGTCCTACCTGAATGATTGTGTAACTCTCATCAAAACCTCCTAGTGTAAATATATATGTATCAAATAATGATTTGGGTTGGATTAGGTGTGCACTTGGGAGGCAAATTTCTTGGCAACCTTTGCTTCACCATGTACCAGGCGCAGAGCACACGAGTTGCACTTTGGCAATATCCATTGCAGAAGCACACCCAAGGCACTGTACCCAGAAATGGGCACACAGCCCCTGTGATCCGGCTTGGAGCTAGCCAGAAGTTAACCCAGGACACAGCATGGATGGCATGACATCAGCACGAGCTGTTTTGCCTACAGCCTGTCAGTCCCCACTGCTTGCTAATGTTCACAAAACCTTAGTGGACTAGATGAAAACTTAAAAGCAGAAGGGAAATTTTTTTTATAAGCTCACAAGTGGTAGTACAGAAAAGGTGCAAAAATAATGGAAGAACAGACCACATCACCTGCATGATGATTGTTTTTTAATGTGAAATTGCAGACATCCTAGAGCCATATAGTAGTTGATATTTACTAGAGGGATTGATCTGTGGAGTTCAGGAAGGAGCACACTGGAAACAGTAAAGCTCTTTAAAATACTTTAATATGCTCTGAAATAGCATATTGATAGGGAAGCTGAAAAAAAAGACACTTCTCATTCAAATACAGCAGGTGACATAGAATATGTGTGTACATACACATATATTCATAAAAAGTTTGACTCTTTTTGAGTTTTGACTCCCAAGGAACATAAAAATATATCTGTAAAACATACATTTATGCACACATATTTTTTTTGTTTTTATAACTATTCATATGTTTTTCCTCTTTGGAGTATACCCAGGCACTCCTAGGACCATTTCTCTCTATGAAGAAATCAGACAGTGCTATGGAATTACATCAGATATAGCCTCGACTATTTATTTCTATTGTTGTCAACACAACATATGCAAACTCTTCTGGGCTGCCAACTCTCATCTCTTGCATCAAGGAAACTGAATCACGTACCTTGGCCGGAAAAAACTAACACAGCTTGCATAAATATAGTTTGATAATGTCCTTGAGTTTCCTGAAGATGCAAAGAAGCAGTAACAGTGTGTACGTTTTTTCTTTTTCTCTTTTTTTTTCTTTTTTTTCCTTTTTTTTTTCTTTTTGAAATGCCATGCCATCAGTGACCATTTGTACTTGGCTGAAACTGCAGCACTGGATCCTATCGACAAAATAAATAAATAAACAGATGGTTTATTTATTAGTGCAGTTGAACTAATGAAGCCAGGTTTCCTATCAGGTTATATCTTACAGTTCAATTCCCTCACATCTAATAAAATGTGAGCTCTGCTCCTGTCCTTGCAAAATGCTTTTCTCCTGTGTGGGTTCTCAGTTGTGCACCAAGGGATAAGCAATCTTTCCTGTAGTGGTGGCACTAATTCAGGGCTTTCTCCTTTAAAAGATCAACTAACTCAAAGAAATTTGTCAGAAGTTCTCTGTAGAATTTGACTGAGATTGGCCAAAAATCCAAAAATATTGGAGAGGATGTGGAAGTACACTTAGATTTTTACGCCCAGCGACATACAGGCAGCAGCAGTCTCATCTCCCCTGGGAACTGTGCTAAGCAGTATATCTTTATTTCAAGAAAACAGAAAAGGTCAGTGTGCTATTTCCCATCATCTTGAAACTTCAATTGATTAATTCTTCATTAAGGGGACTGGGCAACTGTTCAGGGCAAAAGCAGCAGAGAATATAGACAAGTCTGATAGTGAATGCTTCCCTTTGAGGTAAGATATGATTTTGTTTTTATAGCAAAAAACTCAGGAGAATTCAATAAAACTTGATAGAACAGTAGGTTTTCTGGCAGGCTGGTTGCAAGTCTGGTCAAAGGTGTTTAAGCTTTCACAATGTTTGGTGACTTATTAACAATGTTTGACTTTATGCCTACAACACAACTACTGAAGTAATAAGTATGAACTGTTACTAATACATTAAAGGTTTTTGTGTTAGTAACAGGCAGTAGATTAATCTCTAGTTGGGGACAGGGGGTGGAGGAGCATTTCAGAAAGAACATCATACCATAAATGTACAGAAGAATTACAGCTGAAGAATTTTATGTCAATTGTAAAATACGAATGCCTCCCATACAAAAAAGAAACCAGCAGTAAATTAAGGTATACCTTGTCTGAAAACAGCATGAATCAATTACTTACGATGTCATGGTTCTCTGATCCATTGAACATAATCACTCAATAATAAGCTAACTTTTCTAACATGACACAAAAATACTGTCCAAGTTCAAGATTTCCCAAAAGACCAGTAAACAACATGGCCTGGTTTTACAAAAATAGTGCTGTAAGAAGGCTGGTGTCCTAGGCAGGTGTGTCTGTGTTGCAGCACTGGTGTGGTAAGGTCACGCCTGTACATCTGCCTGGGGCCAGGGGTGGATGGAGGCAGGATGTTCACAGGGTCTTACCACCCCAGAGGTGCTGGCTTTCTTGGAGCAGCCTTTCAATACTTAAAAGAGGGAAAACGACTTTTCACTAGTGACAGGACAAGGGGAAATGGTTTTAGATTAAAAGACGAGAGATCTAGATTAGATTAGTTAAGAAGAAATTCTTTACTGTGAGGGTGGTGAGGCACTGGAACGGGGTGCCCAGAGACGGTGTGGATGTCTCATCCCTGAAAGTGTTTGAAGCCAGGTTGGATGGGGCCCTGAGCAACCTGGTCTAGTGAAGGGTGTCCCTGCCCATGGCAGCGGGGTTAGAACTAGATGATCGTTAAGGTGCCTTCCAACCCAAACCATTCCATGATTCTATGATTCTATGAACTGGACATTTTTTCTTCTGTCACAATTGTCTGAAATAATTTCCAGGTTCAGGAGCTAATGGGTTGGGAAAGTGTCATGGTGTTGCTTGACAGAAGAACAGCACACGGACAACCTGGGGGCATAAGCTTTGTCTTCTTAGGAAGTAAGCATGAAAATACATTAAAAATATTTGGGGCAGGCCATTTTATAACAGATGGTTGTCTGGGCTTGCATGTTTTTTAGGACTTCAAGTACAAAGTTTCTTTTGAACTAGGAAAAATCTGCGTGCAGAAGAACAGTACTTTTCTAAAAAGTTTATTTCAGTTTTTTAGAACTTATGTCATATTCAGGCCAATTGAATTGTGTCCAATCTGGGTAAATGCATGTTTAGTTCCTCAGGTTGGAAAGCTGTTGTCTTCTGGAAGGTTACTACATACATGCAATAACTTCTGTGCTTCCAGACTGCTCTGCCTGGGTAAAAGGGCCACGGGTAAAAAACAAACAAGGACTTTGGGACCAGACAGGGGGACTTGATTTTCACACTTGCTACATATCCAAGAAGCTGTAGATGGCAATTCTCCTGGGCCATTACTTTTGAAAACAGGTCCCCTTGTCTAAGGCCTGCAGCCTGAGACAGTCACTTAGAAAAATCTCTGAAAACACTCACTTAGGTATTTGCATCCATAGTATTTTGTTTCAGCTTTGTGCTGTGTTTGCCCTTTGATTAATTCTCTTTTAAAAATCCTTTCCTGTTTTAATTGGCTTATAGAAGGATTTTAGCAGATTATACTGAAAAAAAAAGAAAACAAAAATTAAAGGTTATTCAACACATTTAAATTACCATTCCTGAACATTTGGAGATTCATGTTGTCTTGTTACATTTTAAAACATCGATGGATTGTGTAACTGAAAACCATTACTTACAGTAAAATTTGTTAAAATAATTTGAGTTTAGTGAAGTTTCCATAAAATTGAAAGTATTTTCATCCTTGGCTTAAAAATCTCAAATTACAAACATGAACAAATGATACTGTTGTTGTTGGGTTTGTTTTGTAACTAGGAAATCTGTAGAATACTTAAAGAGTATTCGTTTTTCCATTCTAACAAATTTCTGTCTTTCTCTCAGATTGCAGTTTGGTCTTATGTAAGGCTAGTTTCATCCTCAGGTTATTAATGAAGAATTAGTAAGGAGCTGTAGTTACTTTAAACTAAATCTTTGTTTGAAGATAAATAGACATTAGACTGATTTACAATTGCTAATTTGCACTAAGACTGAAAATTCTTGAGTTCTTGGTACCTCATTTAGGTAGTTTTTTTGTTTTTAACAGCACTTTGTTTACTTTTTAAAACTCGCTAGTATGTTTTTTAAGATCTACATCATGTTCCTTTGATTGATATGGCTGAGGATAATTTCAGTTGTTGGAGAGCAACTTCTTTCATTGTACAGAAACAGTGGTTTCCACAATGGTTTCCTTAAGCCCTCACACATAAGAACATGAGTTTTATGCTTGTCAGTCGTGGCGGGATGTTATGTATCAGCACCCTCCAGAAGCCTTCAGGGAGACAAACAGTCACAGCAGGTTGGCTGTGATGATCCTTCTTCCATTCAAGGACAGAAATAGGAGGCAGATCCAGAAAAAAATACTGTTAAACTCAAGTTCCGTCCCTCTACTCTGTTCTGTTGAGACCCCACCTGGAGTGCTGCATCCAGCTCTGGGGTCCCCAGCACATAAGGGACATTGACCTGTTGGAGGGAGTCCAGAGGAGGGCCATCAAGTTGATCAGAGGGATGGAGCACCTCTCTTAGGAGGAAAGGCTGAGAGAATTGGGATTATTCAGCCTGGAAAAGAGAAGATTTTTGGGTAACCTAATTGTGGCCTTCCAGTACCTGAAGGGAACTTACAGGAAAGATGGGGCAAGGCTATTTATAGGAGGTAGTGAAAGGACAAGAACAAATGGGTTCAAATTGAAAGGGAGTAGAGTTAGATTAGGCATTAGGAAGAAATTCTTTACTGTGAGGGTGGTGAGGCACTGGAAAGTTGTGGATACCCCATCCCTGGAAGTGTTCAGGGCCAAGCTGGATAGGGTTCTGAGCAGGCTGGTCTAGTTGAAGGTGTCCCTGTCCACAGCAGGGGGGTTGGAACTGGGTGATCTTTATAGTCCTCTTTCAACCCCGACCATTCTATGAGTCCCTCCATGACTCTGGGCAATCTAGAATGGGCTTTGGTGAAATCAGCCTTGGGCCTTTAGATGGCTAAAAGTGCAATGAAGCTTTTGTGTCGGGACTGCCCGTCTTCCTGGCAACTGGGCGGGGTTTCGCTGTGATTTTGAAGCTTCAGGTCTCCACTAATGGAGTGAAAATACAGTTTCTCTGGAGCTTAGAAGTAGCAAAAGGTTAAATTGGCGAAATCGAGCAGCCAACACAGACCGAGGACAGACACACGAACAGGTACATTTGCCCTAGAACGGCGTATTCGAGCGTTGTGTGTGGCAGGTGCAGCCGGGCGTCCCCCGGAATTCCCAGCGCTGCGGGAATCCCTCCTCCACAAGGCAGGCCCGTCTCCCGGGCAGCCCGGGCAGCAGAGCGGCCGAGGCCCGTCCCCCTCGATCCGGGTATCGCCGCCCCCTGTGCCGCGGCGGGATTGCTGCGGGGCTGCCCGGGCCGGACGCGCCGCCGCTCCCGGACTGCTCCGTTCCGTTCCGGCCGTACGTACGTACCAGGGGCGGGCCGGGCTGGGCTCCGGGCCGACGCTGCTGGGGCTGCCGGGGCCGGGGCCGGGGCCGGGGCCGGGGCTGGAGCGGGCTGCGGGGCGGCGACCGCGGGGCTCTGGGCAGCCCGCTGGGGCTGGGGGAAGTGGGGCGCTGAGACGCCCCTCCGGGCGGCGCTCCGGCCTGACAGCTGGGTTCCTGCCTCTGCAGTGCCTGAAAATCCGATTATATGAGTTTCTCGCATTGAAACAAACAAATCCCGGGCTGCCGGGATGGTTGGAAGTGAAGGCTGCGGTCCTGCGCGCGTGCCGGCGCCCCTCACACCCCAAACCCAGCTCCGTCCTGGTTTTGCTGTCTGATATATACACAGAGCCTTGTATTGCAGAACCTGCGAGAGTTGTGGTGTAACTTTGTGCCTGCGGCAGGCAGGTTCCAGCCTTACACGCCAAAGCAAAGCAAGTCGTTTGGGTAGGGTAAGGGAAGACGTCTTAAACTCTGTTATTGTTGTCTCGTAATTTTAGGAGCGTGCAGAAATGTCTCCCTTCGAAAATAAAGGAGTCATACTGGGTATAATGGCAGGGACTGCTGGATTAAGCCTGGTGGTGGTTTGGTACCGCAAGATCCGAAAACGTGGGGCAGCTGTGCGTGTACGTGCGTTCCAGGACATAGGTAACAGACTTAATTCTGTGGGCTTGCAAAATGAGGTTCCTAATGAGCAAGGAGCCGTGATGGTTTTACATGGGAGGCAACTGCAGATATTAGAAAAATTGAATGGCCTGCTACTAAGTGTGGATGAACTGAAGAGAGAGGTGGAATTTCTGAAAGAAGCTATTCCAAAGCTTGAAGAGCTTGTTCGAAATGAGCTTCAAGGGAAAGGTGATGTTCAGAGAGTTAGCCCGTCACACAGAGCAACAAGGCGGAGAAAAGCTGAGATAACTTCTGGTGCAAGAGAAACTACCAGCTCTGAGGAGGCGGAAAGTGAAGGAGGGTGAGTTAATAATAATTTGTATATACAACAGTACACATGCAGTGCAAATTGTATCAATACCTATGTGAAATCGTAAACAGGAGCCCTTTTAAAGTTTTATGTAGATTTTATACTTCTCTATATTTAATGGGAAAAAAACCCAGAAATTCAGATTAGCAGGTTTTGAATCAGAGAAGACTCTTGGTGACCATCTCTGAACCTGCACTGTGGCTGAAGTTGGCTTAATGCCAAGCATAATACAGATTTTTTTAGGAATGTGTTTGGTAATGATCTGATGCAGTATTGCTACATAGCTATGCAATGAGAGACAAAGTTCAGAATAATGGTGTAATTTGGAAAGTGCCTCTAGTAAGAAAGTACTCTTCTGTCTTTGCTATAGTTAATTCAAACTGTATGAATGCTCTTGTGCTTTTCATGATAATTGTTTTCTATGGGCCTCACAAATGAGTTATTGCAGTGTTCTGCCTAGAGGTATTGCTTACTATGAAGGCAATGTCCCAATGCAACACACGTACAAGTGACAATGTTTATGTATATTTGTGATTGTATACCCTTTCTAGTGGCTCAAAAAGTAATCATGAGTGATTTAGGATACTGACTCAGTAAGGTAGAAAGTTCCTAGTTTTAGCCCCTTCTTGTAGTCCCATTGTGGTTAATGGGATCTTTTATACTTGTGAGTTGAGGAATGTACTTGTGGGGAATAGGGCCTGGAAAAAAACAGACCTTTGCAGAGGACAGAGCAACTCATTACAGTAAACTTTTCTCAGCTTCACCTCCCGAGTCTGTGCCTCAATACAGCACAGTACTGAAGGATCAGATGTACCTGAAGTCCAGGGGAGGGACTATATTTTTGTCTTTTCAAACATTGCTTAATATACCCTCCAGTGGTAATGTAAAAATGGTGATGACATTACTCTCCTGTAATTATGACTGTGTTTTGGTATAATCAGATTAGATGCTTATGTGCAATTTAATAAGTGTATGTTTATAGCAACTGAGTTTTTTGAACCGTTTCCTCACTGTGTCTTACATGTCTGCGTAGGCAGCATTATGTCTGCAAATTGCCTACTTATGTCACCTTTTTTCTTTAAAGATATATTAATCAACTGTAATATTCTGAAGCTAGTAACATGCTGCATATAATAATTAATGGAATTCTGGTTTTAAGAGTTTCTCCACATTCATTTTCTCTTCCTGTGAACAGAATTTCCTGTTGTGTTACATCCCAGCCTACATGCTTCACAAGTCTTATATTTGGTACCATATTTTAAGACCTGTCAGTTCTACTATGAACTAGTTCTTTATTTTAAGTACTCAGCATTGGCAGAAGTATTCAAAGATATTCCTCCTTCATCTGGTGTAGAAAAATTTTGGTTCTATTAGTTTCTCAGATTATTTTATCTGTTGATTAGTTTGCATAGGCCTTTATGCTATGCCTAAAATATTTGGAGATGTAGATAAGACTAAGGGACCAGTTTATGAATAATCAGTCCATTGATGCAATATAGAGGTTATTCCACACCTAGTATTTCAGAAAATCCCGTTTTTTGGTCAGGAGAGATGGGTGGCTCTTTGAAAAGAAACCAAGGAAACAGGTTCCTGTTTGTGACGAAGAAGCTGATGTGATGATCCAATGCAAGTAATTATAGTGTGCAAGAGCGTTGAATGTGTCCTTAAGAGAGGCCTTCTCTGACAAGTATTTGTGTACAGTCATAAGGAAGGAAGATAGTTCAAGGTTATAGTTAGTGTTAGTCATTTGGGGATATGCTTTTCCAATACTATTTTTCAATCCCTTTTGAAAAGAGATGTTTTTTCCCTACTAATACCTTGTACTTGATGTTCTTGTTTTGCATATCTTCTCTAAATTTAAGATAATTTAATTTAAGTAATTTTTTTTTTTCTTCCTCTTGCAAATAGGTTGTTAATCCTAATGTGTGTACAGTTGCAGTGTATATAGCTTTTTCTGGGGTCTTCTGTAACTTTAAAGACTGTAATGCATGTTCTGTGAGAGTTTACCAGGAGAATCAATAGCAACACATGTTCTTTTTCCAGTTAATGTACATCACCACTTCATGTGCTGTAGGTATAACACCATGTGCATTGTTTTATACTGTTCTGATGTGAATTCCATACGCATTAATGCATTCGGTTGCTAGATTGTGCACTAGAGAAATGATTTCGCTCTTTGTTACTGATAAAACACTTTTTCACTTTGTGTACTCCATCTAAAGTACATGCAACGTGTTTCACTGCCTCAGCAGTATTTTCATGATATAGAAGATAGGATTTTGCTTGTGTTAAGCACTTCTGGTATTAACTGACAAATGGGTAGATGCTGGCAATTGACAGATAAAGTAATCTGAAGAGTTTTATGGATTTATGCTGGATGACTATACTGGTTTAAGGTTTGTAAACTTCTGGAAAAGCATTTAATGCTTCCTCATTTTTTCATGAAATATTTGAAGCTGACAGTATCTGATATCACCTTTTGATCTGCTGTGGGCATATTCTCAGTGTCACTGTTGGGATTCAACACCTTGGGAAAAGAAGCATTTTTGCCTTTCAAAATTATATATTTCTGTAAGTGGAAAAATATCACATGCTTTTTAATAAATGAGCTATAGTTTTACATGATAACAGGTAATTTAAATGGAAGGTGCACTGAATGGATGAGACATTAAATGCTAAAGAGCCTGCAGTTTCTAGTCTGTGCTTTTCTGTATTCTGTTCTTACTAGTTTGTTTCAGTTTCCATCATTTACTAGTGAACTTTTAACAACTGAGAATGGGTAACAAGCTCTCGTTCATTTACAAGTACAATAAATTGTGTCTAGATGATCACCTGAGATGGAGTGTCACTGAATTCTCCTTTTTGTGATTTTAAAGCTGTTTCCTCCCTGATGTGGCAGTGATGAGCCCCTGACATTGGTGTCATGTTTGGCTCCAGTCTTCATCTGGCCCCATGTCCCAGCTTTTCAAATTGCAGTTGGCATCAGTCACCACAAAGATTCACCACAGTACATTCTTTTCTGACAGATGTTCTGTTTATAATTTTTCCTTGAAATAGTTTAAATATTCAACAGGAAGAAACATTTCCCTTGCCTGCTTCTGTGTATCACTTCCCTTCGCATTTCTTAATTTATTTTGCTGCTCGTTTCTTTCAAATGCAACCTTCAGTTGGCCTAAGAATCCAGTTTGCCAAACTTTTCCTCAAAGGCCTCTTACCATTATGGGTGGCTACACACTTTGCTGGAGCATACAGTGCAAATTTGATCCAGATCAGTCTGTGACATATAATCTCCTTTCTTTTGAATTGGCTCGAGCAGATGAGACGGTGTTTGTGTCAGCTTCTGATTTTTCTAAGTTGGCAGGGAGACAACAGATGATATTTGATCTGTCTAAGAGCTGAGGTGTTGTGAACAAATGATACCTGGTTAGGCCCAGTGTCTGCCAGTTTACAGGCAATTCAACTCAGTCTTTGAACCACCAAAGTGCATTTACACCACAGTGGTGTTTTGTGCCCTATAGCTCAGGTTTTTTTAATCCAGTACTGGGTGCTGGGATTTACTGAACTGCTTAAC